GACAGAAAACGACCCGTCCTCATTTGGGAGAGACAGAAGATAAACAAATAAACATATAATAAAACTTCGGACCCTGGTAAGTGCAGTAAGAGAAATAAAGCCAAGTGAAAAGGATAGAGGGGTGGGGGAGGCTATTTTAGATAAGGAATTTGGGGAAGATCTCTCTGGGGAGGTGAGACTGAAACCAAGACCAGGAAAAAGTGAGAGAGTGAGCCAGGCCAAGTGCAGTAGCTCACGCCTGTAATCCTAGTACTTTGGGAGAACAAGGCAGGAGGATCACTTAAGTCCAGGAGTTTGAGGCCAGCCTGAGCAACATAGGGAGACCCCATTTCTACACATTTTTTTTTAAATTAGCTGGGCATGATGTTACTTGGAGTCCAAGTCCCAGTTACTTGGGAGGCTGAGGTAGGAGGATTGCTTGAGCCAGGGCAGTTGAGACTCAATGAGCTGTGATTGCACCACTGCACTCCAGCTTAGGTGACAGAGCAACATCTTGTCTCAAAAAACATGTATAAATAGGTCAGGCGCAGTGGCTCACTCCTGCAATCTCAGCGCTTTGGGAGGCCGAGGATCACTTGAGGTCAGGAGCTCGCGATCAGCCTGCCCCACATGGTGAAACCCTGTCTTTACAAAAAAATGCAAAAATGGGCAGGACATGGTGGCACACACCTGTAGTCCCAGCTGCTTGGGAGGCTGAAGCATGAGAATCACTTGAACCCAGGAGATGGATGTTGCAGTGAGCCAAGATTGTGCCATTGCACTTCAGCCTGGGCAACAGAGCAAGACCCTGTCTCAAAAATATCTATCTATCTAAAATTAAAATAAGTAAAAGATAGAGAGTGAGCCAGATGGTATCAGGGAAAGAGCGTTTGTCGCAGAGGGAGTAGCACGTGCAGCAGGGTGTGATCACATGAGACAATGGACAGGGCAGCCCTGGCCTGTCATGTAAACACAAGGACCCTTCAAGCTGGCCACTCTTCACTGGCCTCCTGAGTCTCTGACAGCTGGCAAAGAAGTCACCAATCACAGAAACCTAAGTATTAACATGTTACATTTCCAAAGTCGGGTTCCCTCCCACGAGCACTGCTCCAGGAACAGGCAGAAAGAGAATGGAAACAACTTTCCTCATGCCTCTATTAGAGCATTTACGTCTCACGATTCCATTACAAGTCAGCCTCACCCCTGGGATGTGGGCTCCTGCAGGCAGGACTGCTTCTCACTTCTCAGGGACCCTGCGGGGCACTGGCAAGCCACACTGCCTTTGGAATTCTGGGTTGGAATGCTGGTTCTGTCATGTTCTTGTCTGAGTTCAGGCATGTTTTTTGCCTTTCTGAGCCTCAGCTTCCTCATCTGAAAGATAAGGGCATTTCTTTTTTTTTTTTTTTTTTTTTTTTGATACAGAGTCTTGCTCTGTCACTCAGGTTGGAGTGC